ACATCAAAGAATTCTGTCACCTTGTATGGATTGTGGCACTGGTCTGTGCTCTCCCCCACCCCCATGTGTATTTGTGTACTCTTTGTATTTGCCTCCATAGCTTGCATTCTCTGCCTGTGCCTCTGAGGTACAGGTGCTTGTCATACCTTTGTTCCAAGGAAGCACCCCCTCTGCTGTAATCAACCACAGTACTCCTTGGAGTTATGTGACAGTCTTAAGAGCAAAGCACAAGTGTGCCCAAATCCAAGAAGTCATCATTAACCAGTCAGAACCAAAGGAAGGACAGGTGGGTAGGTGGAGATTCACATCACTTCAAAGGTAGTCTGTTCCTGGTTGCCATTCCTCTCTGCAGTTCTAGAGACAGAGAAAGTGATCCATTTGAACTATCATGTGTGTTTATGGGCAATCTGTGAGTGACACCAAAGTTAGTATTCAGCCAACCAGGAGGTTTTGAGGAAAATTTGATTCTATTTCAGCTAATGCAGGCTCATTGCTTGGGCATAGCTGAGGCTCAGGGAGACTTGAGCATCAGGAGCAAATCCCAGTTTCCAAGCCATCTGTCTGGATGGCTCATGTGTGGTCCCATCTGAAGAAGAGAAGGGAGGGGGCGACTAGATGGCTCCCCAGTCTCTCTTGCAGGTGTGGAGGCATCTGTGAGTGAGGCAAGGGTCTCTCAGAATGGAGGGAGTCCACAACAAAGGCCCTTTCTGATGAATGCTGTATGCTGTGCAAGGCATCTAACTTCTCAAGGATAACTGATGACAGTGTTAAGCAGAACTGCTGCACTCTCTAAACACTCCCTTTCCACTCCCTGCTCCATCTGTTTCTCAACTATGACTCTGCCAGGAGTCTATTCTTGCTTCCACTTTCCAATAACTTCCTAAAAGCACGAATGGTATACAAGCCTCACTCCTAAGAGGAGGAGGAGGAGGAGGAGGAGGGGCTTACTCAGCCAGGAACTGACATGCTCAAGCAACAGTCATGATTAACATGCTGGGCCAGAAATTTGAGGAGCTGGGAAAGAAAGACTGGGGGACCAACGCGGTGACACATGGTGTCTACCAGCATCTTGTTCAAACTTTAGCTCTTCCAAGAAGCTTACTCTGAAAGATTCAGAGTTATCCCAGTACAGATCACATGCCCATTTTTTACTTTCCCCACCCAACACAGGACATCTGTGTTGTGTATTACCCATGTCAACGTTCAGTCCCCCTTTGGCCAGGGCAGTCTTGGTCATCTGCCTGAATTCCTCAATGGCAATTGCAAAATTTGCTATTATGCCAAACAAAATTTAATTAGGAAATGTACACATATCACAATATGGATCCAGAGCTTTTGGTAATGCAGCCCTGTACATCTGGAATGTCTTTATCCTCTTTCTTTCTGCTCATTCTTTCAACACATTAGTTGAGTTCCCCTTGTGGGTCAGGTACCATGATTGTGGGTTATAAGATTAAACAAGGCTATGGGTGATATGACTGATTCTTCCCTCAAGGAAATTCTGATGTATAACCTTAATGTACTTTTTACATGACTGGAGTGATATTCAATGTGTTTTGTGAAACACAAGAGCAGAATAGCTAACAGGGTCAGGTAAGATCAGAGGGCCCTTGGAGGAAGTGACCCTGGAGCTGAGCCTTTTAGGAAAGGACTGAGGTTAGACAGGTCTGTAATTCCAGGCGAATGTGCTAACAGGAGTACAGGTACAGAGGTAGGAGCAACAATAACATGTGCTAGGAACTATAAACAGTGCTGTGATACTAGAAGACATACCACAGCCAGATTTTACATTTCAGCAAGACAACTCAGGCAGAGTTGAAGAGGAAGCAGCTCCAAGCAGGGAAATCATTTCAGAGGCTGCTGCAATAGTCCAAGCAAGAGTTAGATGATAGGAGGGATGGAGAGAAGGATAAGAAGTTGAAAAGCATTTAGGAAGTAAATCACAAGTAGCCAGTGCGTAGAGGAGGGGCAAAAGGCCAAATGTAGAACAATGAGGCAAGAATGTTCCCAGAGCAAGCAAAGATGTAAGACTGGAAAAGAGGAGCAGGCGACGGCTTTATGAAAACCAAGAAGTGGGTGTGATTGACAATATGAAGTGCTAAGAGAGGTTGTACAAAATCAGGCTTGGAAATTTTCCAGTAGATTAGAAACAAAATGGTGAGAGCAGTTTTAGTGGTGCAAGGCAAAATTGCCTGGGATGAGGAGTGAATAGGAGGAACAAAAGTCGATTTAGCACAGAATCATTTTCTCCTTTAGATACTGTAGACAGAGCACCAGGGGTCTAACAGCTTTTCAGGTGTCCAAATTATGCTTGAGGCCTGAAAACATGTATTGGCTTCCTGATACAAAAAGAAAACTGCAAAATTAAATTAAGACATGTTTAATTAAATATCTCCCAAATGGAATATTGTTTCAACTTCATTAATTTTTAAATTTAATATTGGTAAAAACTTCATCACATTTAGAGACAATTTTTGGTTAGATTTTCTCATTTTGCAGACATTCCCTTGTATGCACACTGTTTGCTGAGAAATTGCAGCCAATTGTAAATTAACTGTTTCTTGCCACTCAGTAATATCAGAAGCAAAATTGTTGAAATGCATTTAATTTAAGATGTGCACTTTCTCTTACCTACTTTTATGTGGGAAGGGGCCTCCAACGGTAAGCATTTTAAGGGCTTTTAGAATGTCTTAAACTGGCTCTAATGTAGACAATGCTTTCAAAAAGCTTGACTATGACAGAAAAGAGAGAGAAGGAATGTTGATTAGACAGAATCAAAGGGGTCAGAAAGATATTTCTTCTTGAAGGAGAGAGTAACATGGGTGAGAAAAAATGAGTAGGGAGAAAGAGATTGGAGGACTTGGTGGTGACTGACAGGGAGGCAGGGAATGCAGCTAGAGTGCAGGTGGCAGAATGAGACCCAGGAGAAGAAGGAACACACCCTTTCAGAACCAAGAAAAGGGGGAAACCCTTCAAGGAGGCCTAGTCATTTTTTCTATCCCCCCTGAAGTGATAGGGGAGTCCCAGCGTACAAGTCATCTGAGATCTTTCTACCTGAGCAAGTGGCTGTCCTTAGTATCACTGTTGTTACTTCCTCTTCACAGGGCCTGGCTAGAGAAACTAGTTTGTCTGTGATGCATTGAACACATCCTAATACCCCAGTTCTTGCTGTTCCCAAAGCTTGAACTGGAGCACTTGCCCACAAACCCCAGCCAGACTCATTTAAATGTGTATTCCCTCTTTGGTGTCCCTTGTTGTTCCTATTCATGTGGCTCCTGATGCTCAGGGTCACAAGATACTTTCTCAAATGGCTGCAGGTGAGAGGAGCAGGTGTTCACATGAACCAAAGCACCTTCATCCTGGAACGATTCCCTATCTTTAATGATCTCCTGTTTTGCTTATTCAAGATAGTGGTTCCTGCATTCACACAGGAACACAAGAGTTGACTATGGTGGCTGTATAAACCAGAATCAATAATTCATTTGATTCATTTGTTGTGTAAGTCCTCAAAACCATCACAAGAGGATTCCCAGTGAAAGCAGGTACTGCTACTGTATTCTGTCTGTTATTTTAAAAACAAAAACAACAGACACCCACTTGGGGCTTTGTGGGAGGAAGCTCAACACATCTTGAAATAGCCAGCCAGCGGTATTTTTCCAGCTTGCCAGGGTGCAGAAGGCAGCATCTAATCTCTGTTCCTTACTTGTGGCTCATTTTGTAGTGCTATGTGAAACTTGCTTTCCTTGACAACAGCATAGCCCTGTCTGTGTTCATGATGATTGAACGAACATTCCAATGTGCAAGCATTATGAACAGCACAAGATATAAGTGTCCCTCTTGGCATTTTCCTGGATAAAATATGTCTTGTGATTTATGATTGTGGCCCCTGTTGAATGAAGGTTTCATGTGTTTATGACACTCCTCCTAAAGTTTGGGTTTCTCTGGTGCCCCCCAAAAAGCATTTAGTTACATAGCTAAACTCACTGTTGGACGCTTTGCAAATGATATAGTCATATCATTCTATAAAATGTATTGAGTATATTTTATACTTCAGGTATCATGAGGCAATGAGGATACAACCAGACTTCAACAAGCTTGAAAACTTGTACAATGCTTCTGGAGACACCAATTTGCAAACTAATTGTAGGCCTGACTGACTAAAAAGATATCACCTGGGAAACTTGTTTTAAAATACAGATTCCTGAGCCCATCTTCAGAGATACTGACTCACTAGATCTGGGGTAAGGACTGGGAATCTGTTTTTAATAAGCTTTCCAGGAAGTTCTGATCACAGCCAGGTTTGAGAACCGATAGTCTGTAAGATAGAAAGCTTTACTTTCCAAGTAGGTCTTATAGTAACTTGTTGAGTATCCCTTATTCAAAAAAATGCTTGGAAGTGTTTCAAATTTCAGTTCTTCAGATTTTGTAATATGTGCCACTTGAGCATTGTTAATCTAAAAATTGGAAATGCAAAATGCTCCAAAATCAGAAACTTCTTGAGCATCACACTAGTGCTCAAAGGTTCAGATTTTTGGATTAGGGCTGCTCAAGTTGTAACGTGTTGACAGTAGTAAACATAAATTTTTTCCATCCAGAACAGTTGCGTTATAGTACACAAACACAGTATTAAGAAGATTGATTGACAAGTCTTTATGAGCCTGCTAGCATTTACAGATATTTTGGTTTCATATAGCTGTAAGCTAAATCAAATTTTGCCTGCACCCTTTTCTTATAATGATCTTTACCTCCTGGCCCCAGATACTCTGCTGTAGCTTCTCTAGTCTCCCTCATTGGCAGCTAGAGCTCCCTCCCCCACTTTATTCCAGCTACACTGAATTTTTTTCAAACAATTAATTAAATCTTTTTCAGCAATGTCTTTCCAAAACATCTACAAGACTTGAGATCTCACAGTTTAAATGAGATTAATATTGTTGTTGATGGTAGAATTATTGTGCCTCTTGTTCTTTCACAATCATTTTTGTTTATTCACTTTCTTACAGGTCTGGGAATGGAGAATATTGGTGGAATCTTTGTGGTTCTTATTTGTGGCTTAATCGTGGCCATTTTTATGGCAATGTTGGAGTTTTTATGGACTCTCAGACACTCAGAAGCAACTGAGGTAAACTTCCAAAAGGGTGTGGCCTACAGTGCTGGCAGTGGGTACAGGTTTGTGTTTTAGACAGGACCTGTGAAATCCACAGAACCATGCCCAGGAGAGCACAGTGGAAAGAATCCACTTCCCCAAGGTACGAGTTCTGGGTTAATACTTTATCACCCACTAATTACACAGCCATGGAAAGGGTACTGGTCTCTCTGGGCTCCTGATTTTTCTTTGAAACAGCATAGCAAATACATATGTGAAAGATGTGTATGAAAAGAGTTTTCTGGAACAATAATTCAAGCTGTAGCATAGTAAATGTGTAGGTGTATACTTAGAAGTACCAGGTTACTAATGGAAAATACAGACTCATTCCTTCCATTTTGAATGTTTTTGCCCTTTGAGATATCCCAATGTACAGGAACCCAAAATTTAGATCTTCCTTCTCAAGGATTTTGAGTAAATTTCGTTCCCTACTTGGGACCTAGAGGTAGGTTATTATAAATTTTACACTGAAGGAAGAGACTGAAAAGAAAGATGACTCTGTTTTTTAACATTCTTCTCTTCCACTCCAGAAAAAGTATACAAATCCTTTCATGTTAATTGCATTATGAGACTTTTAAAAGTACATTAGTCTTGGGGCTAGGGATTTAGCTCAGAGGCACTGCACCTGCCTCGCAAGCTCAGGGTCCTGAGTTTGATTCCCAGTACCAAAAAAAATAAAAGTACATTAACCTTTACCTCAAGCTCCCACCTCTGGATCTTCCTGAAGCCCCTTTCCCTTCTTGCTGATGCAGAAACATCTCAAGACTGTGTGGCTCATCCCTTAGAAGCCTGTGGAGTTCTACCTCACATGGGACCTCAACACAGCTCTGCCTGCCAGGCCTTTTCCTCTTCTGGGCTGAGCCTATTTCCCATCCTCACAGTAGTCCTGTGCCATCTCACTCAGTCCTCATGTTTTCCGGTCCTGCAAGCATAGAGCTTACTGTTACATTCCAGCCTCCCCAAGAAATCAGGAGTGAATAGCCCCAAATTAAAATCACTACCTAAAAATGTATACATAACTATGGCACCCACCCCTGCAGCTACAGCAGATGTCCTGTTCTCCTCTTGTCTCATCCTTGATCTTGCCATTCCTCAGCTATGAGATGTGATGGAAAAATGTGTGTTTAAATAAAATTTATTACAATAAAAGAGATACTGATGCTAATCCTCCTCAAAGGACTTCCCCTCACTTTGAACACACTTATCCCATCATTCTTGCCACTTTCTGAGGCAGTTCTGGAAATCCTTTTTCATAAAGTATGTTTAATTGTGCAATTTTAGCTGATTGATGTCCTGAATTGATTCATAATGTTTCTGTTTCATGGTCATTTTGAGTTTTAGGAAAAGCCAGAAGTCACATGATACCAGCTCAGGTGAATAAGGTGGATCATGACATGCTGTAACGTTTAATTCCTGCTCTTCTGTTGGTTGGCACTCAGCAGCAACACTGACAGTGTTTTTTGTCATACTGCTTAAAGACAGTCATGAAAGAGGACTTCCAGAACTGCTTTAGAAAGTAGCAAGAATGATGGGATGAGGGTGTCTGAATAAGGGGGAGTAGTGGCCATGTGCCTTTTAATGTAATTTTTAAAAACTTTAAACATTCACTGTGTTTCTCCAGCATCCCTTGTGCTCTAGGTTTATCCTCTATGTCTCCTGTATTTTTCTTCCTGATTAGAATCTATAAATATGCTCTTGTTAACCATATTTCAAAAATAATTGCAATATGATTATTGTTCTATCCTTCCTTTCTTCCAAACCAAGGAGATCTGAATATACTGTCAGTTTCTCTTTCCTTACCTTCCATTTGGTCCTTAATCCAGGCCCAGCTGACTTCACTCCAACTCTACACTGAAGGCCATTGCTAAACGATCCAACCTATTTTCTCAAAGGACAAAAACAAAGAGAATCCACTGGGCCTTATTGGATCTCAGTGTGCCCCTTGAAGAGTGGACAGCTCCTTCCAGAATCTCTCCCCTCCCTTGCCTTGTGCAGCACCAAGCTTTCTTGGGTCTTCTCATACTCCTCTCACCAACTCTACTGGAGCCCTACTTTTGCCCACTCACTAAATGACAGTGATACTTACTGATTCCATAAGTTCAGGTGATCCCTTCCTTGTGAAACCTTCCTCATCTCTCCTGCCTTCTCCCCTGGATCAGTAGAGCTCTTGATTCCTTCTCCTTCCCAACACCATTGTAACTAGGCATGGAGCACTTACACACTATGTTACAGTGACTAGACATTGAGGTGCCTGAAGAGCTGTGTCTTTTATCTCTATATTCACTGTAAAGCACAGTGCTTGACACAGTTTAGTCAGTCAGCAACTATATGTTGTTTTATTTTTGTCACATGTGATGGACTAGGCAGGCAGGGAAATTTTTCTTGTCATAGTAACTAGAGGTTAAGTGACTTACCAATAATCTCTGCTATTTAGTAACTGGTCTAAAATCTAGGTCTCAAGTCCTAAAGCAGGTCATATTCAATGACATGTTACTATCTGTAGCTTCTTTACATTTGGTTTTTCTCCCAATAATTCACCCATGGCTGAACACCAACAAACTCAGAGAAAGTTAGAGCATTCTCAGTTGCTAACATAAAGAATAAAAGCTCTGCTGGTTCTTTGGCTATGGTTGAACAGCTGTCCTGTTGATAGAACTGGGAGAGAAAACATGGAAGAACAGGAGGTTCTTCTACCATCATGGTTGAGGAAAATGGCCTTTCACACTCAGAGATGAGAACTCAACCAAGCATGCATGGGCCTTGGAATTAGATAGGTTTAAATGCAAATTCTCAGCCAGCTGTTTATTAGTTAATTGTTGACAAAATATATAACCTTCCTGAGCCTGCATTTGCACATTTGGGAAGCGGCTAGAATAATAGTGGTAAAACAGGCTCATGATTCTTCATCCACAATTCTTAAACTCCCCAAAGCTTGGAAACTTCCAAGCTCTTTATATATAAGTTTGATGCAAATATATTCAGTGATAAAACTTGACTTAACTAATGTTTATGGTCTTTATCTCACTCAGAGTGATCATTCTCACATTTTGCTACAGAAATATTACTGTGTTTGAATCTGGAGTTAGCCCTAGACCCATTGTATATCCTTTGTGCATTGTATTACCTTCCTGAAATCCAATGTATTCCAAATTTTGAAACAGCTGGAGCCTAGTGTCTGTATTAGAAGATTTTGGACCTATAGTAGCAATGGTTGCTCTTCGTTTAATAATTATCAGAATGCATCATTTCTACTCATCACGATTAGATAAAAGAAATGAGAGTCTTTGGCCTGAAAACAACATGGTAGAGACTTGAGTGACTGAGGTGGTAGAGGGTTTTTTGTTGTAGGCTTCAAAGTCTAAATTAGTTACAACTAGGATCAGTGGAAGAAAATTTCAGGGATAGAAATTAACGCAGTAGAAGGAAGCAGGCATTAATGGATATGGGGAAAGTGGTACAAGGTCTTTCCCAAGATGGTGAGCTCATTGTCTTAGGCGGTGTTGGAAGAATGGACAGCCAGGTGGCAGAGCTTTTGAACCTTAAGTGAGGTGGGAAGAGAGGTGTTGGATTGAGAGGCTCTCATACCTAAGATGATGTGATTCCGTGAGCCCTGGTCTCAGGCCCCAGCCCCACCGACTCTTAGGGACTCCTGGGGCTGGCGCTGAGAGGCTGGCCATGACCTCCCTGTCTCCTCTAGGTGTCTGTCTGCCAGGAGATGGTGACTGAGCTGCGCAGCATCATCCTGTGTCAGGACAGTATCCATCCTCGCCGGCGGCGCGCTGGGATCCCGCAGCCCCGGCCTCCTATCCCGGAAGAGCGGCGGCCCCGCGGCACCGCGACACTCAGCAATGGGAAGCTGTGCGGGGCCGGGGAGCCCGACCAGCTGGCGCAGAGACTGGCCCAGGAGGCGGCCCTGGTGGCCCGCGGCTGCACGCATATCCGTGTCTGCCCCGAGTGCCGCCGCTTCCAGGGACTGCGAGCGCGGCCGTCCCCGGCCCGCAGCGAGGAGAGCCTGGAGTGGGAGAAGACCACCAACAGCAGCGAGCCGGAGTAGCCCGGCGACCACCGACGCGGAGCCAGGTGGGGAGGCCGCAGGGCAGGACCGGCGCCGCTGTCGCGGGGAGCTCGGACTTGTACAGCAGCCACGCTTCTCCCCGGATTTGGGATCCAGTCACTTTACAAAATGGTCAAAGAGCCTGACGCCCCAGCCAGAGACACACAGTGCCCGGTCGGGGATCGGGTCCACCCAGAGACGCCGCAACCAAGTGGCAAAGGGATAGTGTTCCTCTTGGGCGCAAGGACCCATCTTCTCCCAGTGGGCTTTTCCCTCCCGAATAACAGAGTCTGGGGTGGGGGGCCCTGCCCAGACCAGTCCAACGAGTTGATGGAATCATCAGTTGAACTTCCGCCCAGGAAGGGGCTATTGTTCGTATCCTGGGTCTAGTTCTCACAGGAAAAAAAGAAAAATTAAAGTCAACAGGGAAGTTTTTCTTTTCTGGATTTGTATATTTTTGTTAATGTTCTTTTTTTTCCCTCCCTCCTTTTCTTTTGTCGCCCTCTCAGTCCTCTTTACTTGTTTTGTAGTTTTTTTGGAGGGAGAAGTTGGGTTAGGAAATGGAAGCCTAAATAATCCCTATTGCTTTCTCCTCCATTCTGGGATAGAAGTCCCCACTGCATCTGATTTCAGGTGCTGAACTCTGCCCGCTGTGTTGGTTGGGAACCTACAGGAGCAGTGTAGGACGAGGCACTGGAGAAAGAAGCAGAGGGAGTCTCTGTGAAAGTCCATTAAAGCGATTTTAAATGCCAAAAAGCAATTAACCCATAGTTTACTTGGAGAGACCTGAAATGTCTCCGATTTCACAGGTTAATCTGTCTTTTCTTTCTCTTTACTTTTGGACTTTCACTATTACTGGGTTGGGTTTGGTCTTTTGTAAATGTGGTTTCTGAAGACAAATGAGGGAGGAAAACAGTACACACAGCATCATGGGCCTTGTTAAGGAGCAGAGAGAGTGGGTATAATTTGGCCTGGCTTCCACTGCAACTTGCTGCTCACAGAAGAGGAAGGACAGGACCACTGCGTTGCAATGGTGCATACTTTATTAACTGCATTTCATTTTAACCAAACTCAGTAGCTGCCTAAGATGCCCCATCCTCAATGCAATCATGGACTGGGTGATTTCTTCCTACTGTGATGTGAGATCTGAGTGTGTGCGTGTGTGCGTGTGTGTCTTTGTGTGTCTGTTTATTAAATGGAAAGACCTTAAGCAATCAAGAATTTGCCAGGTTTATGGAAGAGGAATAGATTCTCTTAGCCAATCACAAGCCTGGGAAGGAGGGATTTTGGGGTCTTGACCACAGCTTTGGGCAGCAGCCACCCACCCACTTTGTGTGACTTTAGGTACGAAGCATCTGATTTCTGTTCCAACAGAGTAGGAGTTCATACACGGATGCTTTCTGGGTTATCAAGTGTTTCTGGTCACTGCTCTGCTTGTAAGAAGTCTACAGGGTCCAGAGTACTCACCTGAAGAGAGGGATGAGGCTTCCCAGCAGCTGCTCCACCTATGCTTGACATCACCACTTGGGAGTTTCACACAGAGAGTTGTCATTTTCTGATGGAAAACCATTTCTATGCAATTTCTGATTGTAAACAAAATTCGGAGGGAGAGAAAAATAAACAGTCGCCGCCACCACCTCCACTGCTGCCACCACCACCTTGAATGGAGTTGTCCTCACATAGCTTCTGTTTTGAATGTACTAAAATAAAGACATTTTTGGAGATGATAAGCTCAGTTCCATGCTTTTCCTGTTTGGGTAGGTCAGCATCCTCTTTGGGCCAGGACATCTAGTAAGAGCTGCCATCCTGGGGGCCAAGGGAGTACTCTGATTATTCCTATTCAGGATGCAGTTCTGCCCTCAGCTGACCTCTGCCCTTTCATAAATTTGAATCCTTTTAAATTTTTTTTTTTCTGTAACCATGCAGTGATAGTAAGATGTGTAGGACACTTATGTACTTTTTGAACCTTGCCTCAAACTCCGGGAAGAAACATGTATTGGTGGGAAGGGCACTGGAAGGCCAACTGGCCACAGACCCCAGTGGCGCCACACTGCTCCATCCTGCAGCTCCATCCCTTGCTTCTGACTCTCTGGTCCCTCCTGCCAAATCACACTGAGACTGGAAAGGTTTTCTGTTTTGTTTTTTTTTTAAAAAAAAAACAACACATTTTTATGAGTAGGATATCTTGATCAATAGCAGACTTTTTAAATGGATTCGTGAAATAAATGTCCCCATGCATCATTTATAAATGTTTCCCTCACCTTGTGGAATAAAGTTGAGACTGACAGCGCTAGGCGGTTTCTCTTAGCTGCTGACACAGTTGTTGCACCTCCCTCCAGCTACAGTGTGAATTTGCAGCCTTTCTTGGTTTGTCTCCCCTTTTTATCTGTTGGTTGTTGGCTTTCTTCTCCATTGTGTAGTTTCTATCTGACTCTGTGTACTGTATAAAGCAATTTTTTCTCGTCTATCTTTCTTCAACTAGAATATTTACAATAAAACAGAAACAAACCCTGAAATGTTAGTGACGGGTGGAAGCTGTTTTGGTTTGGAAAGTGTGGTTCAGTGTGTCTAATATCCAGGCACCAGACTCTAAAAGCAAATAAACTAGAAATTCACTTTGTGCCTTCCCCTCCACCTGCCCTCTCTCTGTCTCTCTTTTTCTACCTCTCTCACACTCCCCCACCCCATTCCACTCTTTGTTCAGATCCCAGGAAAATCTAGGTGGCTTCTTTCAATTTTTAGTCCTGGGAGTCTGAGCCAATCCCCCCTCCCAAAATGGATACACATGTTAATGAAGTCCAGAATTCATGGGGTTTTGTCTTCCTCAATGCACTTTTACAGAATAGTCATCTATTGATACCTGGGGTAACTCTAGTCAGATATCACCCCAGATTCCACTGGGAGCTTGAAGATTACATCAATTAAAATATAATACTTTGCTTTATTTCTTTTAATTGCTCTGCAGGGCCCCAACCGTCACAAGATCTCTACCTCAGAACCTAGGTGGGGTGTAAGTTGAGCATGTAGATGGCGGAAAATCTTGGCTTCCTCTAATCCAGTGCTCATATGAGAATATTCATCCTGGGAACTTGCCAACCAGCTATCTTATTGGTTAGGTGAGACTTAAATATCATGATAACCAATCTACCTGGGGCCACTCTGTGAAAGTTTATTAGTTTTGGATTCCAAGGAGCTTAATTTTCATTTGGAATCCAAGGGGCACTTCCCTGTGGTGTAGGAGGCCAGAACAGGGCTGGGACATTGCAGACACAGCAGACTGTTGGTTGGAGTGATGCTTGAGAGAGGTATTTGTGGCCCTCCTGCCAATGGGGTGCTCACAGCAAGGTAAAGTAGTCTGGAAATGATAAGGGAGATTTGGTTCCCAAATGGTTGTCAGCTCTCTTGGGGGTAACGACAAAGAGGCCTGTTTGGAAAATGCACAGAAAGAATCCTTTCAGAAAGATTTTTGCTTAAAGCTAGTGCTTCCTATGGGACCTTCTCAAGAGAAAAATTGAATCTTAACTTGCCTTGAGCTTTTTGAGTAATTTTCAGGCCTTTCCATGAAAAGCGACTTTCTCCCTAAAGGCAAGTCCCTACCAGAGCCAAACAGAGTGTGGCCTTGGGGCTGACAATTTGAATGTCCTCTGGTATGCCTCAAAGATTGGTGCTGATTTTCTGTCAAGATTTTTCTCATAGCAGGAAAATAAAAGTTGTAACCAGTTACAGCTTCCAGAAAGGGGAGAGGGAAGAAACCCTGCAAATTCTAGAACTGAAGTGGTCAACAACCTCATTGTTATTTAAGAGCAACTAGGCAAGAGAAGTTCTGGCACAATTGTTACAACTGGTTTTATTAGTTTCATACTAATTTTCAAATCTGAAAGATGAATGGAAAATGACTGATCTTACTATGAAGCAAACAGGAGAACTTGTGCTGAGATCAGGAAAGAAGAGAGGCTACAATGTGTTAAAGTGGAAAACAACCCCTCTGACCAGAAGTGGCAGAAAAGTTGAGGCTGTACAAAAGACGTAAAGAAATTGAGCATATAATGTGTCCATATGTTAATTAAATGTGTACACACAAATATTTCCCTTGCTGGGAATTACTGAAGCCTGTGGCTGATGTCACGAGAGGGGACTTGATCCTACTTATAGATTTAACTGCAGTCTGTATTATAGAGGATGGAGGTTAAATATGCAAATGCAAAAGTTCTCCTGCTTGAAAATTAGCTCAATAGTGTCCACAATGTGGTATTTATTATGCCCAACCTAATGTCTCTGGGCTGTACCAGAAAAGTCAAAGGGGAATAGGAATGGAAGAGTTTGGCAGATTATTGGCACTTTTTCGGGTTGGTAAGTGGCCTGGAGTACCTAGCACTGTGTTAGAGTCTGTGAGAAATAGTGAAGAAATAAATACAAGAATCAGTACTCTGCCCGAAAGGACAAAACTTACCGATAAAAAAATGGCAAAAACCCCCCACAAAATAACAAAGTGCTAGGGTATAGAGTTTGGCACATAAGCCAGGTAGGATTTCAGGGGGCTCTGGATTCTAGGTGGTCAAGAGAACAAGAGAAGGTTTAGTGGAGGAGGCAGTTATGTCTTTGTGCTGTTAAAAATGGTTTTGATGTCTGGAAAAACAAGATGTTGCTGCATATGGCATGAAATATGGTTAATTCATGTTGATGAATTCAGCCCTCCTCTGATAAAAAATAGTTTTTTGTTGCTGCCCCCCCCACAGCACACCTTTTTTGGGAATTCTGGCTCTCCTATGATGCAAATTCTAACTTGCTACCAATGCTATTTAGAGATTCTTGCCACTATCTCATCCCTGGGCTTCTTCAAGTTGTATTAGTGGAATTAGCTGCAGAGACAAATGGCCTCAGCCTACAGAATACAAAAAGGCTGATTGAAATGAGCAATGCAACCATCTGAAATGGATTATGAACTCTTTTTAGAAAAGGATCAAGTGGTTTTAAAATTGTGGGGAAGGCGTGTGAAGATTGGAGCCAATGTGAAATTAATACAGAACAGAATCCCCAAATTTCTGATGTACAGGAATGTTTGGAATTGTATTTCTCTTCAGTCTATTAAACCATCCTGTTATCTGTAGCAAGAGGAGTCTGCCTGGGAAGTTATTCTACTTGGATTGTTCTGGTTATATTTTTTAGAAGCTTTTCCATTAAAAATAACAGAATGTAACTTCTATTTCTACACTGTCTATAATCCTATAGCACCAAGTAGGCTAGAACAGCATTTTAAATCCCTAAAACTTGGCCAAATGTGAAGGCCAAGGGAAAGAAGTTCCAAGCAAGTAAACAGCCCAGGCCAGCAATACCAAGAGACTGTGTGTGCCCATGAACTCAAACATGGCAACAGGACTTTAAAACCAGCTTAAAGAGATCAGATAAAAATGTAAAAAGACTTAATATTATTTTTCCTTACT